GCAGAGGCAGCAGTTTCTTCCGAAAGGGGGACCAGGGGGGGGGGGGGGGGGGCACCGTGTTAGAAAAAACTACAGGTGCAACAGCAGAGGGCTCTGCCGGAGTAACCGAAGTTACTGCTAGAGGTACCGAAGCAGCAACTAGCGTGGGGGGGGCAGCCGAGACGGTAGGCGCGAAGCCGGTCGTGCGAACACGCGAAGTTGTGGGGAATATGGGCAAAGACGGTACTACTGGCATGGAAACAGCGACAGCTGCGGGAACAGCAGCCGAAGCTACGTGCACAGAGCTCGCGGTGTGAACATGGGGAATAGCCGAAGCTGTACGTAGGGTCGAAACCACACTACGCATAAAAGGAGCTACGGGGGTAACTGCACCATAAGCAGTCGAGACTGCGGGCAGGGGGAGGGGCGGGGGCACAGGAATAAATGCACCGCGAGCAGTCGAAACCAAGGGCATAGAGAGGGTAGTGGTGGGATACACAGGGGTACGTGCATCAACAACAGTCGAGCCCGCAGAGACAAACGCAGGGGAGGCAGTCGAAACTGTAATGGAAGACGAGGCTACGGAAACAATGGCATCATCAGTGGCAAATAGAAATCGCACATACATGTACATGTTTCGGAGGCAAGCGAAATTGCCTGTGTGGGCGAAACCACTGAATCAACTGCATCGGAAGCAATCGAAAGGGCCGGTGTAGCCGAAGTTACTGGAAGGGGGTGAACCAGAGGCAACCGAAATCACCCGTGTAGTCCGAAGACAGCAGCAGGGAGGTCTGGAGACCATCTGCTGGGGACCCGAAGGCCGCTACGCGGAGCGAAGACACGCAAACGTTCTGAATGCTCAGGACTCGCCGAAGCAGAGTCCGAAGAGCCGACGTTATAGGCTGAGACATACCAATAAGCGAGGCAAAGCTAAACTGCTTGCTGTGGTTGAGACCAAAGCGCAAAAAACTGCCAGCAGCAACTGAAGCACCAAGCCGTGACAAAACACAACAAAACCAGACAACACACCGTACAAATACGCCGAGACGCCAAGTGTTGTGGTATATATGTACGCGTGGTGCTATCTGGGAAGCCCGTGTAGAAGAACTCACTTGTTGTTAACTCTTGTGGAAGAGCAGCAGCAGTAGCTGATGCCTTGGGTAGCGATAGGTCTGACATTGAGGGGGCCAGAATCCTCTGCTCAAGCAGGGGCTACTACGATCCTGTCCCCTGTTTTATCCTTCCGCGGGGAGTTACATCTCCCCGCTTCTTATATGTAGAAGAATCTTCTTCTCTTCTATGTTCCGCCTACATCTAATCCTGTCAACCACACAAAATAAATCCGCCTCTGCGGCGCACATGCCTCAACAACCTTCGTACACTGCGGGAAGGGGACACCAGCTCCGTCCCTCTCAAACCTTGCCATCCACGTACAAGTCAAGTGCGTTTCACTGCTAGGCAATACGACGTGCGGACAAAGCGCACCTCGCCGGTATTCGAACCGTCACTACCCTGCGACGCCTGTTTCTCCAGAAGGTTCTCAGAATATTCTCGAGGCCGCCGACTAGGAAAAAAGGAAACACGCCCAACAACGCCATTTACCCGCTCTCGTGCACCCTACTAAATCACGTTCCTTTGAACAAACACGGTGCGCGCTCGACCTTGTGACGACTCTCCCCCCCACCCCTCCCCAAAGAAACCAAGGATAAGGAGGGTCTCGATGTCTGCGGAATGTTGAAAGAAGGAATAGGTTTCAAGGAATGACTCCCTACGGCGAACAATGGATGCAGGGACAAAGCTGAAGGTCAATTTCAGGACCGGGGACATTGGCCTCGTCGAGAACGTAGACGAGAAAGTAGACGATGAAGACGAAAAGTTGAAATGTCAATGCGGCTCCGAGTGCGAAGACCGGGTTCAAGTAGTTGCGGCATATTCGTTGTACAAGGAGGGGGAAGTGTACATGACTGAGCTGGGAAGCGTATAAGGAAAATACAGGGAGATGTTTGAGGCATGGAATAGCCAGGAGACGGTAGATGTACGGGGCATACAAGGCAGCAGGAAGTGATATCGATAGGAGGATAGATCGGCTAGGAAAGACATTCTTGAGCCACCTTTGGCAAAGTAGGAATGGACGATTGGTCATCGGTGATCGGTCCTGTGGGAACAATGCTCCGTCCTCTCGAGGACGCGTGGTAAATGGTCTAACCGCTAAGGCATGCGAAACATACGAGTACGCCCCCCCCCGCAACGGATCCGCTGAGAGGATGTTGTGCATGTAATGTATGTATATTTGACCGTAGGTGAAGCCTCTCTATGTTCCAACGCTTCCAGGCTATCGTGCCGTGTTGCTGCAAACTAATCTGAAAATCCACAAAAACAAACCAAAGCAATCAAATGCCAGAAAATAGAGCACACCACAACAACAGGCACTGCCTCGAACCACAACTAATCCTCGGCGCATACGCAGCCGGTGTCACAAAATACATGGTTTGGTACATCACACATCTACGGGAGCGCTCCAAACACTGTTCGACCTCGTCGCGATGATGGCAGACGATACACCTGCGGTTTAAACTCGCAGGCGCTTCCGGCATAACAAGTCGATCGCAGCCACTCCGACCAAGCCCCAAACAACGCTGTACAAGTGGGCTGTCGGTATTACTACATCCATAGGGGCGGGCTCGGCTGGGCGTTTCGAGGCATACATATGTATGCCCCCGGCAAACGACCGCACTCTGTGTACCCCCCCCCGCGCTCACCCCTGCCGACTGCCACACAAAAGAACTAATAGAACGATCTTGGCCTGTCAGTCACACCACCAGCCCTATCCGCAACGAACTACCACTAGTTTTCTTCTTCGAATCCCCTCTCGTGCCGCAGCCCAGAAGCTGCCGCCATCACACCGCTCTCCATTTCGCTTACCCGTTGCCCCCAGGCTTGACAAGCGAGACGTACGGCACGGCGAGAAAAACACCAACTCTACCACAGTCCGACGCCTTGATCAAACAAAAGGATTTACCCCGTTGTATATCTCCGGCTCCGTCCTTGTCTGCCCCCCCCCTCCCGCCCCCCAGGCGGCGCGGAACGCCCACCATGCCGTGCGTTTCCTTCCCCAAATGCTAAATACTTCACACACAAGTTTTGATACCACCCGGTCGCACACCCCCAAGCAACTATCGATCCCACTCTCCGCGCGCGTTGGTACGACGCGTGTCACATCATACCCGGCCCATTGCCGGTGCTGGTGCTGTCGCTGCTCGAGGGCAGGTCTGCGTGGAACTGATCTCTCTCGCCGCTGCCGTTTCTGCCTCGGTTTCGGCTGAAGGGTCCCCCCAACATGCAGCACATGATCCCAGAGTCTTGGGGTGGGGTGGGGGGGAAGGAGACCACGGCCGACGAAACAGCGAACATGACCACGCGCAGTTGACAGGAGGGGCGGGGTAGGGTGAGGTTTGAGAGTAGGGCTCCTGGGTGGATATGAGATCTATACTGCCGTAGGCCACCGAAAACAAGCGCAGGAAACTCGACTTGGCCAAGCAAAGGCGGAACCCCATCAGTGCCCGTGCACACCACTTGGCCGTTACATTTTTGGTATACAGCAGTACACCACCTCTTGCAATACACCACACCGTCGCAATTTCTTTCGAGATACAGAGGTACTTTGTATCTCTCTAGTGGACTCGCTTGTGTCGAGCTCTTTCTCTCCCTCCCTATCACATCACCCCCCCCCCGCGCGCGCCATCCCTGCCTCTCGCCTTCTCCCTTGACATGTCGCATGGCAAGTGGGATGTCGAAATTACAACAAATCGGTATGCTTCTGTCCGTACTCACAGCAAACGGCCAGGAGGCACGACAGGAACCCGATGATCACAACCAGCAGCGTCCAGTGCCGCAGCAAGGCTGGAGAAGAAAAACAAACACAAACAAACCACGATCGATAAATGAACGGAACAGAGAAACAAACCCGATGCAACGGATCACGCGTTAGATAGGCAGCATTTACTTCATTCGGAGCACGATTTGGGTTTGTTCGAGAACTAACTCGCACGCAAGCTTTGGTCGAAGAATCAGGCTGCGTGGAAGGGTGGCAGGGCTTCCAAAAAAGGCCGGAGGCCGGGGTGAGGACAAAAACCTACCGATGATACCCAAGCGTTTGCTATGCTATCACAGCCACGCGAGTTTGCCCTCCAGACAGCAGTCAAACACAGCACCCCCCTGACGATGTAGTGCCAAAAGACCGAGCAAAAACCCAAACCACACACCATACACGTCATATTGTGCACGAAAAACTCACGTGAACAGGTTCGATTGCCAGTGAAGAGTCGGAAGTACAGCGCCGCCCCTACGACGCTCCAGCCCGCGAGAAACCATTGGCTCACCACCAGGATGAAGAAAATCGTGTCCGGAAACACCTGAGAGCGTTCGGTTTTGGGGCGGCCAGCGCGTTACGTTGTGCGTGGTACCTCAAACGAACGGGTAGCTTTGAGAAAAAAAATACAAAAAAAGTACATGAGAAAAACGTATCGCGGTTGAACACAAAACAAAAACAGCAGTGTCGGCGCTCTCACGCGAGAGTAGTGCTGCTGGGCAAAGGAATCATCAGCAGGCAAAGAGACAAAAACAAAGGAGATCGGGGGACGAAAACCAGCCAGGACTAAACAGAGGATCTGATCGAGTACGATGGCGGCTACAGCAGTAAGTGGGACATCGCCGACCAGGTTCCCAAACACCCAGCAACTGCAGCAAAACAACATAAACAGACATCGACAATGATATCAATCGCCTCCAACACCAACACTACCCACGGCAAGCATATGAACAGCAGAACGACTAAACTCAAAACACCGACAACGGGCTACTGTAGATACTCCGACGCCAACATGCTCCATACTGTGTCCTTTTTCAACACAGGCAACCGAGGCGCACCCAAGCAAACGTCAAAAAACATAATCGAGAACCCAGCCCAAAAATTCAAGCAAAGCATTGACTCATGACGTACACGAACTACTTGAATAACTTCACCAAGTTCCATGCCCGCGCACTGTTTTGAGACCCTGCTTCTTTGTACCGCACCGGTCTTCTCGGTTGCTACATCCGTCTGGCTGTCTGCACACCGCGTAAAAGTAGATCTACGATTCGGACTGCTTCAATCACCAAGTTAAAGACAAACCGGGTACATGTAGCTCGCACAAACGATCCTTTTCGCGTTAATAACAATAACAATGACAATTACCAGGCCTGCAGAAATGACACGCAACACGGAAGACAAGAGCATACCTTAGGCCCTGGCCCGAAATATCGGTGCTGGAGCGACGACGACTGTGCCGCCAGTCGGTGCGAGATAGTGCTAGGAACCCCCCTGTTTTTTTTTTTCATGCCGGCAAGGTGAGGCGAGGAAACACCATCCGGCAACATCCAAACGAATAGGACAACAACACAACGGCCGGAGCACGGCAAGAGGCGGGAGAGAACAAAGGAGCGCACGCGTTAGAAACGGACGGCGGTTTCTGTGAGCCACGAAAGTCACGCAGCAAGGCAAAACACGACCAAGCACGGAAGGGGAGAGGAACGTTGTAGGCCGACCCGATAGTCGTACCCGGTGGAATTGTTCCAAAACGAAAGCAACCATACAAAAACGATGCACAGGACCGACCGTCTGTTCGGCAAATCACCTTGAGGCCAAACTACAACCCGAAAACACGTACTGCATGCACTCAAAAGGCCCTGATTGAAGCTGTTACACAGCTCGTTTACAGTGCGCCAAAATTGTGGCAGCCTGAAATGCCGCAACAAACACATGCGACATCCAAATTAGCCAATCTGCGGGAAAACGTAAATTTTTCCGACCGCAGGGTAAGCGAGCGCGCAAGTCGTGCCAACCAGCAGCAGTGCAAGGGCCACAAACACAAGATGAGCGGAGTGCCGCCATACAAAACGGATTGGCAGCAACAAGCAATAAAAGAAACGCCAACACTCACGATACGATCGACTCGTCCCCCATCGAATCCCGCCGCTCCTCCCCCCCGGCCATCCCGCCCCCGTTCACCCCCTTGCCCCCGCTTCCGCCGCCTTCCTCCATCTTGAACGGCGGCGTTATCCTGATGTCACTACGTTTGCCGTTGCCGTTGGCATCCTCTGGCCCCATCTCCGGCGGCGAAGCTCGCCCGCCCGTGCCCCCCGCGGCGCTGCTAACGCTAACGTTGATGCTGTCGTCGTCGACCCCCCAGGCGTCGTCGTCGTCTAGGAAGCGCGACGGTCGGGTGCCGTTCCCTCTGCCGTGGAAGATCGCGCCCAGCCCGCTGCAGATGGCGGTCACGCACACCGTGGTGAGGAGCCACGTCCTCAGACCCCCGTCGCATTCCTGTGCGGTGCGGTGCGGTGCGGTGCGGTAGGGCCGTGGGACGCGGACCGGACTCGTGAGAATTCGCAATACCCAATGCTCTTGTACCCTGCTTGGAGTATTCTTCAAACAAAAAACACAGGTGTCTGCTGCCTTGAAGACTGACTGTACACAGATTTGCAACGTTTTCTTCTTTTTATTTCATCAGTATGACTCAACGAATTCATCTCTATCGAAGAAAAGAGCCTAAGATAGATTAGCAATGAATCTTTTTGGTTCGCTGAGTTTCGCTGGGCTCTTGGGGAGCCAAAATACCTCAGCAGGGCGCGCTGTTGAGCTTGGGAAATAGGACAGCTTGGCAGTTGGCACCCAGCTGTGGGCTGGTCCTGCTGCCTGCTGTTATTCTCATCTTGCTCCACCCCTGTATGACACTGCAATACACTGCTGTGCTCTCGTGAGCCTAATCAGGAGGGATCCCTGGTTAGCAGCCTTCGCGAGGATACTGTTTAAACTTGGTTTTAGTATGGGGTTAGGGATACAGCAGTAGGTGGCCCGGTATAATGCCGGCGGTTGACAGCTGATTTTACCGGCATTCTAGCGGGAGACAGGTAATATTTATAATAGGCCTCTATAGTGCCGGTTCCGGCACTACTGAGGGTCTGAGAGTTCCGCTATGATGCGCTACCAGCACTATATATGCATAGGAAACCGTCGAGGTATTCAATACGAAAACGTGCACATCGCACACACCACAAGCATCACGTGATGGGGAAAAATGACAGTGGATGCTGTGACAGGAGGTTTGGTAAGCATTCCGCGATCGAGCAGATTTCAGAGACGCGTGCATCGAAGGGCCGTATGTTAGCTCATCCCTCCATGCATAATCTTTTTGATTCTACCCTCTGATTTTTTTTTATGCAGAGAAAAATGTCTGTACACACGAACTCTTCCTTGGCGTACGTAAAATATTCACCTCTGGTGCCTCCCCGTCACTCGCAAAAAAAATACACGTAACTAATATCGTACGCAAATATCGGGAAAAAAAACAAAAAGCATAGGGCCGCGAGATGTGTGCTTGGGGTGGTGCACTGTGTGTGTAGTCCTCTGTGTGCAAGCACCTTGAGGACCGGCAGTATTCACGGGCCACCAACCCCCCGAACCGCATTATACCGGCAATATACCGGCTTGAAGTTGTGCCAGCCGATATCACCGGCATTATAGCGAAAAACCGGCATTATTCGACCGGCAATATACCGGGCCCCCTTTTTTTTTACTGTAGGGATACGAACCCTTCCTCTCTATCTCATAGAATATAATAGTAATAATTCCATGAAGGCGGTCCTCCCTGGCATAGGCTATTTGTTGCAATCCTTTGTAGATTCCCAAGGATGTTGATAGACAATCTCGGCGGGGGGGGGGGGAGGGGGGGGGGGC